GACCTTGGGCCCTGGCAGCCGAGCGCGCAGCCCTAGTGAGATCCAGCCTCTAAAGGACAAAACAATAAACAAGGAAAGACACACACACACACACGCTCCGGCCTGCAGACCCAGGTGCCCGCCATGCAGGTTGGAGGCAACTCCCCTTCGGCTCTCCCTCTGCCTCCCAAGTGTCCTCTTCTGAACACTCTCCTTCCCCCCTCTGCCCAGACCACACCTCCAGGTGCACGGGAACCTCTGGGGGCCCTCCTGGGAAGAGCTGCTGACCAGCCAGTCACTGCCCCTCAGCGCCCACATAGCCCGCACAGAAGCACACCGGCGCTGGCTCCCAGGTTTTCCAGCTTCTCCCTGCTGTGACTACTCAAATTCATGACCTCCCCAACCCACCCCTCAAGTAGGTCTTCAGCCCGCCCAACTCCAAGTGACCTATGGGCAGCAACTGCACAGCGCACCACCTCCTCCTCTTCACTTCCTCCCTCACCTGGCTACAGGGAGAAGACTCAGGTTTCCTCTACCTCCCTGGCTGCACCTTCTCCACCCTTCTGGCTTGTGTCTGAGCGTCTCTGAAACTTCCGATCATCCACTTGCCTGGGAGCTCAGCCTCTTGATTTCCCTAGGTGGCCTGACTAGTCCTAAATGCTGGGGACTGAGCCCAGGGCCTTCTCAGACATGCTGGGCTCCACCACTGAGCTACCTGTGTAATGTTTTTCTGTTGAGACAGGGTCTCACTAAGATGCCCAGATTGGCCTTGAACGTATGATCCTCCTGCCTCAGCCTCCTGAGTAGCTGGGATTACAGGTGTGTGCCTTCCCCGAAAGTTAGGAATTTGAAGATCAATCAAACCTCTGTATTCACAAATTCTGCATCTAGAGATCGAACCCAAACCACAGACTGAAAATTTTCAGGAAAAAATTGCGCCTGTGCTGAATATGTACAAGCTTTTTGTTTTGTCATTAATCCTTAAACACTACAGTATAGGGCCAGGGATATAGCTCAGTGGCAGAGCACCTGCCTGGCAAGCATGAGGTCATGCATTTGATTCCTGATACAAAAAACCCAAAACACTACAGTATAGCAACTACTTGCACAGCATTTACTGTGTATTAGGTCACATAAGCAACCTAGAGCTGACTTAAAGCATATAGGAGGATGTGTGTAAGTTGTATGTGAACACTGTGCCATTCTGCAATTTGCCCATCCCAGATCACACAGTGGGGTGAGGCTGGTGCTGTGCCATGCTATACAGGGGACTCCAGCAGCCAAGGATTTCAGTGTTTTCAGGGGTCCTGGATGCTGACCCTCTACTGCTCATTTCCATGATTCACAACCTTGGCTGCACTCAAAATCTCTTTTGAGTGAGTCCCGGGTATTTCCATCTGCAGCTGAGACCTTGGCTTTGAACTACAGTCTTGAATATTCAACTGCCTACTCGACATTTCCACTTGGATGTAACGTAGATCAAAAGCCAAATGCCCCTTAACAGTGTTCCTGCAGGGGCCAGGCACAGTGGCATAAGTGTAGTGCTAGCACTGGGGAGGCTGAGGCAGGAGAATCGCTGCGAGTTTCAGGCCACCCTGGGCTACACAGGGGCAGCATGAACTATACAGGAGACCTTGCCTCAAAAACAAAACAAAAGCGCTCCTCCTGCAGTTCCCTCTGTCTTTACAGATAGGAATTCTGTCCTTCAACTTGCTGAGGTTTAAGATCATCCTTGACATGCCATATGCAGTCCATCAGCAAATTCCAATCGCTGTCTCTGGAACACAGCCAGGGCCCCACCCTGCCCCACCAGGTCTGCAGATGTTGCCTGGCCCAGCTCACTGTGGTCTTGAACTTGGCCCAAAGCAGAATATTTTCCCCAGTGCTGCCCAGCGGGGAAATGCGCCCCCACTTCCACCCTCTCCTGTGTGCCCGCAGCCTGGGACAGCCTTTCAAGACACCCTTGTCCGAGCATGTGACCCTGCTACCCAGCCCTGCGGGCCCGCGCTTTCCCTGGTCTTCCGCACCCTCTCTGCTGGGGTGCTCCTCCTTGCTCTGCTGTGCCCGCTTCATCCCCAGGTTCTCTGCTCTAGGGCCACCCAACAGAACTGTGGCTGAGGCCACTCCCTGCCCTTGCTGTTCTCCTTGGCCTTTCCGCCACACCCGCTGCCACACCGAAGGTTTATCTGTCTAGTGTGTCTCCTTTCATCTCCCCTTTTATTTTAAACTGGTGCTCAGCACACAGGAAGCACTCAGCAGGTAGGCAAGGAGTAACAGATGCATGGGTGACCCTGTGGCCATTTCACACGCATGTAGGCCACAGGGTTGGTTGCATTTTGAGCTGCGGAAGAAACCAACGCTTCAGGTCTAGGACTAACGCACTAATGGTGTAATTTCAGCCTGGCAGGAAAATAACAGAATTTCAGGGAAGGATGGCTTCCCTGGACCTTCAGAGGACACTGGGGGATAGCAGCTGGTCACTGTCTGCCCCAGGATGCCACTGCTGGCCCTGAGGAGAGGGAGGGGACAGTTGAGAGTTCTTTCTTCCTTCCTTCCTTCTTCCCTCCCTCCTTTTCTTTTCTTTCTTTCTTTCTTTCTTTTTCTTTCTTTCTCTCTCTCTCTCTCTCTCTCTCTC